AAAAAAAAGACATTTAGAAATGAAATAAATCTAAAAATATAACTAACCCAACTCATTGAAGTTAATCAGCAAAAAAAACTTTTTTTTATTTAATAACAATTATTTAATCTTAAAATATATATTTTAAACTCAAGTTACAAGATTGTCAAACGTACAAAATGTATTATATATTTAATATAACGTAACGCCACAACAAAGATGAAAGATAAAAAAGCTATTTAGCAAACAAAAACATGCAATTAGATTATTATCAAATGCACACCGACTCTCACATTCAAGACCATTGTTTAACAATCTATAAATACTAAATGTGTACCAAATAAATATATATCATCTTCTGATTTTTATGTATAAAATTAATAACAATTCAATACCAAATATCTTCAAACCATTATTTAATAAAATTCAACACAAATACGTAACTAAATATTCTAACAACAACTTTGTTCAACCCAAAACTATATACGACTCCACCAAGTTTTCAATAACTGTTAGAGGACCTAATGCATGGAATAAGATAATCAGTAATGATATTAAAACACTTAAAACTCTTGATCAGTTTAAACAAAAACTAAAACTATTACTTTTAAATAATGAACAAACAGATAATTATTTTTAAATCTATCTATAAAAATATTATATTTTAAAACTATCTACTAATGCATACTTTATTTGTCTGGAAGGTCTAAATTCTTTAATTTTATATAGGTATTACAGTCTGTTATATTATAAAAAAAGTACTTATAAAGACTTTTAGCATTTTTAGATTTCATTAGTTTAAATAAATTTATTAGTTTTCTTAAATAAGAGAGAGAGAGAGGAAAAATAAAAAAAGTAATCTTTTTTGAATTTTAATTTTTTATATTAATATTTTGTAATTTGCTTTTGAGGAATTAATATATTACACTTTATAAAAACAGATTGTAAATTAAATTTTACGTTTACTTTTTTCATGTTTTTTAGTTTTTTGATATTTTTGTTTTTCTGAATGAACTTTTAAATTTTTCTTTCAAAAAATAAAATCGAAAAAATATCTTTCAAAACTTTGAACTATTAAACTATTTGGCATTTTATATAAACTTCTTTGTAATATTTTGCTTTTTTCTTAATTTTTTAATTTTCATTTTAGTTACCATGTATTTATATAAATGTCTAGACAAACAAGGGACTTGGTGATAAGACAACCCCGTCTTCTTCTCGTCCTTGCCATTTTTAAATATTTTAAATTACGGAACTTGTAAATATTTGTACGGCTAAATTATTAATAATAATAAAAAATAAAAATAAAAAAAATAACGCCAAATTTTAAGTTCATAGGTTTACTGACTGCAAAGATACTACCATTTATTTAAATGCAGTTTTTGGGGTATTATTTAAATGCGATTTTACACAGCAAAAATATTAATAATTCTGTTGACAATAACACCAAAACTATTCCTACAGTTTTTGCAAACTATTAAACAGTTTGCAAAAGTAAAGAATAAAAAAAATATTGAAATGTTTTTTTTGTGGTTTTTGCGGTACGAATACCTATAAAACAGGGTTTGTATTTAATAGAGTGCTTTTTGTTGTCGCAATGGTAATTTCACGAAAGTTTGGAAAAATATATAGGTAATATAGATACTTAATCCTAGTAGTTTTAAAAAAAGACTTTTTTTAAACTCTATTACAAGGTTATAAAATAAAGTTTAAGGATGTCAAGTGCTATCATTCCAATTATAGATATCGAACAGCCAATTTTGTCCAAGATTATCGTATAACCCAATAATAAAAAAAAGTAAATGCACATCAAAAGTTTGAGCATCTTATAAAAAAATTGTAATCAATGTTAATGCAACGTATAGCAAGTTTTAATTATTGTTTGCACGCTTTATCGGCATAACCTACTTAGAACTAGTCACTTGGTTACAAATACGATGATTAAACCGTTCCATCCTTCCCAAATATGTTTCCCAACGACGGATCATTAGAGAAATTTTAAATTTAATGAAGAAAAAAGCAGAAATAATGTATAATGTTTCATAAAAACCCTTTTAAAAAGAGGTTGAATGTTTATACAATTACAAATGATTGTTTTAAGGTTTTTGAGGATAAAAAAGAAAAATTAAATGTTGTAGTTGATAAACTACAATTTATTGTAGTCGAATTAACTTCACTTGTGATTTCTGGACGTTTATTTAAAATAAATATTTAATTTCTCTAATTTGCCACTATATTGATAGTAACTGGGAACTAAAAAGCATATACCTAATTTTATTGATATTGAAGCGCCTTATATTGGAATAGCACTATATAAAACAATTATTGAGAAGGTGTTCTACTTTACAAAGTTAAACTTGTAAAGTGGAACATTGAAAGATAAATAATGTACTTTGTTTTAGATAATTGTTATCTTAATCAGATACCTAATACTAAACTGAGTAAGTCAGTAAAGATTTTTTTCATGCTAGATTTTCTAGATATTGTAAATTTATTTGTTCAAGAAGCAATCAAAAGTATCAAGAATTTAATTGTAAAAGTTTAAAAAAGTGTGAAATATGTCAAATCATCAACTTTGAAATGTTAACAGTTTAAAGAAGTAGCATGTCAAATGCAAGCTCCTAGTAATAATGTTGTGTTTGATGGAGCTCTACTTATATAACGCTGGGTACAGCATTGAAAAATTTCTTTTCTTGTCTGAAAGAAATTAATTTAAGTTAGTCACATTCACTAAATGAAAAGGAGTGGGTAAATAAAAGAGTTTGTTATGACTTGTTAAAACATTTTTATAAAGTAACTAATCTTTTTACTACAACATAAAATTCATTACAGCAGTAAACTACTTTTTTAATCATACTTGTGAAATACATTTCAAACTAATAGATATTTGCAGCAATCATATTTAATTTATATGTGAAATAGGGAAGAAAATAATCGAAAAATATTTGATATATTAGAAAGTTAGTTCTGGTGTTTTAGCCATTTATTCATTTCTTGACCCACGTTATAAAATGATCAGTGTTTATTAAAACCTATAAATAGACCAATTTATCGTGATGTAAGTCAAAATAAGGTAGTAGATATCTACTTTCTTTTAACTTGCATATTTAAAAAAGGTAGATAACAAATTATATAACGAGTACAATTCTAAATTTTTGAAAACAATAAACGGTTGAGTGCTAAAGGAAGGTGTTTTAACACTGTCTATTTCTTCTTCTTCTTTTACATATACAAAAATAATTGAGAGATTCAAAATACTTATTGCATTAAAAATTTCTTCTTATAAATTAAAGAATAAAATGCAAGTGTAAAAAATGAGTCAATAATTGTTGATCTAGAAGGATTTGATATACTGGAGTGGTATATACTGATATTCTGAATATATACTGGAGTCAGATTTCCAGCTATACAATGTTTAGTAAGAGATAAATAGTCCATTTCATTTTCTACTGTTACTTCTGAGTCAGTATTAAGAACAGGTACTAGAGATCTTGATAAATATTGTAGTTTTGTGATGCCAACTATATTAGAAGCCATTGTATGCTCTCGAAATTGGATAAAAAATGAACTCCAAGGTTGTTTAATACGTGTAATTGAATTTTATTTTCTTAATATTAAAAAATACAACTATGAAATATAAGTGCATTTACTAATTTTAATTTTTTTGTAAACAGAGAAAAACAGCAATGTGGTCTCCTTTAATGTTTGCCCTCAGCGATCGTACAGATTTTACTCGGCATTTGCATGAAGTTGAACAGCTATCTTAAATCAACTTTAAATATTAATAAAACAAAATATATTTATTTCCATTCTCTTAAAAAAAGCTATCCATAAATCTGCATCCAACTTTTATTGACCAATTTAAGATTAAAAGAGACTGCGTTACAAAGATTTAGTAGTTTTTCTGGATGAAAACATTACATGGAAACATCACATTAATTGCATCAGTACCAAAATTTCTGAAAATATTGGAATTTTATATAAAAACAAAGGGAAAATCATACCTACCTTAAAAAAAACTTCTCGAAAAATAAATTTATCTCAAATTTTATCTGACCAAAATGACAAATGATCCGCTTAGCTCAAAAATGATTAGACTGAATAGGGCTTCAGTACATATATTGATTATCTAATAGCCTGCTGCCGCAAATAAGTGCGGCTACATCGACTGAGAGTTTGGGCTGGGACAGCGATTTTTTCTTTCATTATTCTTCATTTTCTTTCTTTATTATTTAAAATCTTAATCTCGATAAAGCTATTTCTAAAGTGAAAGTATTTAATGCCTTTTGTATAGTTCCATAGGTTTTTACTTTAAAATATTTTTACTTAAAACCTGTCAATAAATATAACCTAAGAAATAATGATTTGCTAAACCAAATGTTATGTCGAACCAAGTTCAATAAGTTTTGTATTTATTATTGTACTCCATATTTATGGAATAAAGTTATTTTGCAATATTTTGATATTTTTCTTTCCGTGTTATTAAAGCTAAACTTAAAAGATTTTATTTTTTCATCGAACAACATATTTATATACTACTAATAGTAACGTTTTGAAACTGTTAATTTTCTATTTTTAAAGAATGTAATTTATTTTACTGTTTATATTAACTTAATTTACGTTGTTTGTAGTATTAGTCAATATACTTAACATAGTTTGTTTGCTTTTATTATTGAAGAGGTTTATTACTGCATTTTAAAAAATTATATAAGGTTCCAATGATAAAATCTTTGCGATATATCTGTTTAAATTGTTTACAATTTAAACAGATATATCGGTCCATTGATAGTCAACACATTCCCAATCTATTAACAGCCCTACCTACGACAATTATAATAAGGGAATCGAGAAAAAACGGGGGATCCATTAATTAAATCAACAAAATAAGAGAGAAAAGGGCTTTGTTAAACCATTTAATAATTCAAAAATTGGTAACTAGCTGCTTTTTTGTGTATTACCAACGCACCTATTTTCTTATTCTTTTTAGAGCAACAAAATATATTAACTAAAGATCAAGATTGTTGAAAAAAACAATTTAAAACAACTCAAAATTTTTTACAAACTGTAAACTGCCATGATACAAATTGTTGCCAACCGATTCGAAGTTTTTACTTTGAGATTATCGACGATAGATTTATTGAGCAGTCGTGGCGCAGTGGTAGCGCATTTGCTTCAGAAACGTAAGGTCTGTAGTTTAAACCCCACCTAAGGGCAATTTCTGCAATATCAGGCTCTTTGATAAAACCGTAAGGGCCTCTTCGGGCACCTAAAAAAAAAAGAATAAAAATAATATATATTTTTTTTTCCAACAGTTCCAGTATTTTAAGGTGGCCTAAGCCTTGAAGATGCTTTTTAGATCAACTTGCAAAAACTTTTATTCATTTTCTTCATTCAGTCTTTGAAAGTTGATAACATGATATTCTACCTAGATTGTCAAAGATCAGAATTCTTTCATATGATCTATATTGTCCTTCCATTTTCTCACATTTTTGTAACACGTCCATTACAAAAATGCGGGGAAAAAATTTCTCTACAAACTAATCTAATGTTAACAATTACGGATATTTATTTTCAAAAAATTGAACTTTTCAATCTTATAAATACCACTTTTTGAGTACAAAAGTTTTTTTTGCTTTATTTTTAGGGAAAAACTTATATATTTTGCGGGGATTTTGTCCCCTCCCTCTGGTTAATTCCCTATTTTAGAAGATCTTTGAATGTTCTTAAATATGCGTGATAGTCTTTTTCTTAAGCAGCATTCCTTAGAAGCTGATATGTTGACTTTGATAAACTACCATCAATAATTAATGCTAAAGCTTCATTAGGTAAATATTTGGTAGCAGCTTCAATTGGGTTTTTATTTCAAATTTCAACAAACTTTGTTGAAGCTAGTCCCGTACTTCCAGTACTCATTTCTTAGCTTAAACTTTGTTGCATGAAGTAATTCAAGATAAGATAAACTATTAATAACATTTTTTAGCTGTCTTTTTTTTGTTCTGATCTAAGCTTTTAAATTTATATAGATCTAATAGGTTGCATACATATTATATTTATTAGTTAAAGAACCTAATATAGTTTCTCGTTGGTTCCTTAAATTTTGTGACACCTTGTACTAATAAAATAAATAAAAATTTACCTCGCTATTTTAAAGTTTAAATTATTATTATAGTATTTTCAAAAACGAAAATTTTTTTTGTGGTTTAAAAAGGTACTAATTATACTCAAAATAATTTTTAAAATAGTAAAGTATGGTTTTGAATATATTAAATATTTTTTTTAAGGTTTTGTGGACCACCTGGCTTACTGTGCAATGGCTCAGTCGGTTAACCAATTCGAATCCATTTGGCAAATTTTACATTGTTACGAACGTAGTTCTTATTAGAACTACGCTCGCAACAATGTAAAATACTATGAAATGGATTCAAACCCCACTGGTAACCTTGCGTGGTACCTATGCAATTTATGTAACTACGTAAACTGGATAGGGGTTGCTGACAGAGACAATTTGGCAAATAAAATGAGGTCGGGAGGTCGGGGGAGGGGATTCTTAAATAATACCAACTGATTCCCAAAATAAAAGGTTCTTTTTATTTTGGGAATCAGTTAAAAAAAAATTAAAATTTAATTGACTGAATTATGTCTAATACCTGACTACGAGTATATTTGTCAAAAAACCGACTATAACTTGAAAATCACTTTACCGTTGCTTTCAGACTGTGATTGCTGAAATGTTAACATGATCCTTGTCGATAAAACCTATTCAGGATCATCAAAATAAAGCACAAAATAATAATAATAACAATAATAATAATAATAATAATAATAATAAATTTACGCCCACATGTTTTTTGTATTTAAAGCATTAGATCTCCAACCTGCTCCAGGTAGCTACGCCATGTACGCCACTCTTTCAAAATCTAATAATTTAAATATTTTAAATAATTTTTGTTTAGTTTTTTACTAAAGAAACAGACATTACAAAAACATTGTATAAAAAAAAAATAGAACTTCTCATAGAAAAAAGTTTGGTACCGAAATTGATTAAACGCTTGAATGAGTACTTGAAACAAACCAATGCGCACCACAGATCTTACCGGGATTTAACAGTTGTAGTATTTTGTCCAAAAAATAGTCAATATAAAATAAAAATGATTTTGTAATGTATAAATTAAAGGTTATAAAATAACGCTCAAGAAGATGTCAAGGTACTTTTTATAATTAGCATGTAACAGCCTTTCTACGCATGGTTGTTTTAATTACTTTGCATGCTGAGTATTAATTGATTTTTAACTGAATGTATATTAAATATAAATTTTTAATCACCAGAACGAAAAGTTTTTTTCAAATTTTGACAGAACTTTTAACAATGATCACATAAAGACCCTATTTTTATACAAAAAAAAAAATAAAAAAAAAAAAAAAAAAAAGAAGATGAAGATCTGCCTGTTGTTTATTTGCCAAAATATTTTACAAATAATAATAAAAATATAAATAATAAAATAAGACTTTGTTATCTTTTTATATTTTGTATGTTTTCTGTATTTGTTTGTTAAATAAACAAAAACCCTTTTTTCAAGACGGTACGGTATTTTAAACCAGAGAAACCAAAGTAGGTTTTTTGGGAAACCTAGTTAAAAAATGGCTTTACCTAAAAGTAATTTTTTAAAACTGTTTTCAGATATTTATATAGTTATACTTTTTACAATAAAAAGAAATTCAGCTTTCATTAACTTTTTTTTTGGAAATTTCTATTTGGAAATTTCTGGAATATCCATTACGGAAAACTTGAACCTAATATTTAGCTCTTTTGGACAATGTTTATCATATGAAATGAAACTGCTACTTTGACAGCAAATTTAGCAGCATCAAGTTTTAAATTTTTGCATCACTTTGAGCATCAAGGTTCAAACTTTTATTGGTGTGAATTATATAATAAATTGTTTCATTTTGTTGATATCCTCATTTGAAAGAAAATGTTTGTTAGTTTTTTTTTTCATTTAATAATTCGAATTCATAAACTTCATCTTTATTCTAAAAGTCAATTTGCCAAAAAATAAACAACAATAACAATTGAACTACACACTCAAAATGTTATATTGACCCATAACTAATAAACAAAAATCTTTCTGCTTTTCTGTTCGGCAAGCTCACCTGTTTTTTCGCTAAAGTTCATTTTTTAAAATAATTTTAAGTTAAGTTTGACTAAAAAATTATAACGGCTATGAAGCATTGTTGATTGGAGATTATTTTTTACCCGTTTAAGAGTAGAGACTTATTCTCACAGCCACACAGTTTGCAATGGAAATAGTGAGAAACAATCAATATGATACATAAATATTTGGAAATATGTAAGCAATATACAGTGTCAACCTGGGGCGGATGCAGCATCATTTGGAGTTTAAGGTAGCTGCCTTCCAAACAAAGAGCAGCACCAATCCTTTATATGTTGAAACTTATGTCAAATAAAGATGCTTTGCTAAACATCAAAACATACTACATCCGTCCATGGTATCAACGCACTCTTTTAAAACATGCAGAGGATACAATGAATTGTCACTTACAGAACTATTATTTTGAAAAGGAAAAAAAACTTTAAAGTTTTGCTACTTTAACAATGGTGCAAATTGTTCTATATCAAAAATAAAATAATTTTCAGAACTTTTTGAATACACTTTTATAAGTATTTTTGAAAAAACTTTTTAAAAAAGTCAAATTTTTTATGTTACTATGATCATCACTTCCTATCGTAAGTTCGTCACAAGTTTGTCAATATCGGCTTAAAAGTTTTCACTCGAAGCTTGTCAGATTTGTTAAAAGTTTTAATTTTGTTTTCTCCATCGTTAAATAACATTTTTTAACTTATATTAGAACAGTATTTTTTAAAGACTTCAATGATTTTGGACCAGATGTAAAGCTCATTATTCAATAATAACTAAAAAAAAAGAAAAGAAACAATTTCAATAGAATGTGTTTTAAATTCTACTAGTGAAATAGTAGAATCACACATCAACGACATAACGATTTAACTTATTAATGTTGAGAAAATAATTAATGCACTAAGGAAAGAAAAAATGGAATATAAAAACTATTATTAGGAATATAAGAACTATTATTTGGAATATAAGAACTATTATTTGGAATATAAGAACTATTATTTGGAATATAAGAATTATTATTTGGAATATAAGAATTTTTTTTGGACTATAAGAACTATTATTTGACACTCAAATAATGTTCAATCATAATAAAACTCTCTAATTTATTAACTATTTGGTGAAAAGAAGCAATAATGGCATAGTCTTTTCCTGCAAAGCCAAAGGCTTCAGTAGTTTTGACTCAGAACACAAAGGTCCGAGGTTCAACGCCAAATCTAGCTCTATAAACAATATTGGTAAAAAAAAACAAACGTGAACCTTTAGCCTCGTTAAATGCTCTTCCGTGGTGCTCTGTAATAAGATCGTTAGGACTTCTGGAAAAAAAAAGATTTTAGATTGTATTATGTCTAGCAAACTTTGAAACAGATTATTAATCTAAAACATGAAACTATGCAAAATAAAGTACAATAATGTAAAGTTGCTAAAATTAACAAAAAAACCATTTCAACTACTAACTAAACATGTTTTAACTGTTACAAATTCCAAACTTTATTGCTTTTAAAATTTAGGTAATAACAGTGCTGTATGTGGAATCATATACTATGCTGCTACACGTTTTCTGAAACTCAATTTACTGTAGTAAATATAGCACTTAACAAGGTCATGTCTCTGAAAAGATTTTTTTTTTTTGTAAATTAACGTCCTTTATATGCAAACATTAGTTAAAATAATAGTAACTTAAGAAACAAATACACATAAACAAACTCGTAAAATATTTTGACTGAAAAAAGTTTAATGTCACAAAAAATTATGTTAAAAACGTTTCATTCATAAAGTCCAAGTACATTTTTCCCTCACTTAGGGAGGGGAGGAGCACTTCTTAAATTTAGGGGCCTTTTTGCAAATGTAAGGAGCAAGTTTTTTTTTTTAAAATAGTATTACCTAATGTAAAAATTATAAAGACTTTGATGTCCTTATGACAGTTTTTTATTTTTATTTTTTGGAGGGGGATCTTGGACTTAGTAACCACGGCAGTGGCTATACAAATAACAACTACTAATTACTATGAACTAATAAATATGAGCAATCTTGTAAATAAATATCCATATTTTAAACAAATTTGGCAAATAGCACAGTTTTGCTATATCCGTGTTATTTGCCAAATTTGTGATATATACTATAGTATATATCATAATACTATTTACATTATATTATTTACATGTAAAATATCTCAAAAAAATAAATAAAGTGGATTAAACGCATAAAAAGCTGTTGTTTCAAAGTTCAACAATAAATAATATGAATGTCTCGTAAGCTGGATTTAATTGATGGCATCGTAGATGGCAAATTCTTGTAATTTATTGATGATTTTTAAACATTTTTTTTTACTTTCTTCATTACAAAAAAAAAGGTAAATTGTTGCAATAAAATGTCAGCCAACGGATACAACTGCAACATTAGTTTAAAAAAAAAAAATGTTTTTGCTAATAATAAGCTGCTGTTTCCTTAGTGTAAACTGTTCAGTGAAAATTGTTTTAGTTATATGGTAAGAATAAACGTTTTGCGGAGTTCATACCAAGCAAGCTTATTCAAGATTTTTTTGGTAATTGAATGGATGGTTTTGGCTTAACCTATCTAAGCAATATGTTTGGATATCAACTAAACAGATTTAGATGCATTACTAATCTGTTTTTGAAATAAGCAAAATAACAGTAAATCCACGTCACTTACTGCTTATTTGGTACTTATTGGGGTTTACTTTTGCTTCTATTTTCATAAAAATTAAAGACTTACTGTTTATTTTCTTAATTTAAAATGCTTATTTTAATATTAAATATTGGATATGCTGTCCTTTTGCTGCAAAAAATAGTACAAAACTAGTTAACACCCATGTAGCAATATCTTAATTTTGACTAAAATAAGAGGTACTGCATTTTCGCTTTGCACGGCAGGCGTGTAAATTGTAACATTTATTCTTCAGAGAATGCCGATTCTTCAATAAATGTTTATGCTGATTCAAACTTTATAGATTTTTTAAAGCTTTGTAGATTACAAGCTTTGTAGATTTATTAAATAAATGTTTACATGGAAAAATCCAGAACGCAAATGAGGGCTTAAACGGGCTCATATGCTCAAGGTTACCAAAAACTGTATTTGTTGGCAGAGAAACCATATAAATGGATGTATTTTCAGCTGTCGTTTACTTTAATAATGTACGAAAAGAAGTATTGACAAATATTGACAAATGTTTTAAAACGCTTTGGTTTAAAAAAAGATATTTCAAAAGCTGTTGCATCAAATTTAGAAAATTCATGCATGTAGCGAATTGAAATAAAATTCAAAAATGCGTTGAAAACAATTGCAAAAATTGAAAAAGCGTTGAAAACAATTGCAAACCAGAAAAAAAAGATTTTGTGATAAAATAAATGAAAAAGAATTATTAGATTCATATCGTGCTGAGTACACGATTTTTTTTGTATAAGCAACTTAGAATTTTGGTCAGAACTCGAGTTGCTTATTTTTCAGCCAATTTCTATGTCTCGAGTTGCTTAATGGTTGCTTAAGTTTCTTGGCCTAAATTTCAGTGTTTTTACGAATAAGAGACAAAAACCAAACCAAAGTTTCTTTTATTTGAACAAATAAAGTGAAACCAAAGTTGAACAAATTTGTCTGCTTTCTCTTACTCATGATCTTAACAGCGTTGTCAACAACATACACAACAACAACAACAACACTACTGTGATTACTTTTTTTTGAAAACGTTTAGCTAAAAGAAGTCATTACGTTGAAGAGAAAAAAATTGCAATTTATGAAATGCTTATGTTTAAATTTGTTTAGAACTGAAGTTGCTTAATATTTTTTCGCATCGAGTTTAGTTGCTTATAAACGAGTTGCAAAAAAAATCGTGTATAAGAAGAAAGTTATCTATAAGTAGAAAACATTTTTCTTATTCATTTTATTTTTGTTTTGCTTTTTTATCTGTTTTCAATTTTTTGCATACTTGTCATAACTTAAAAAAATGATAACTTGCGATTTTGATTTGAAGTTTTGGAATTGTTAATGTTGATTTATTACTCCGGATGACCCATAGATTTTATATAAAACACTGAATATCTTAAAAAATCCAGTTAAGTGCGAATTTGTATCAACAATTGTTGATAAAAATTAGTATTTTTACAAAAAATTTAGTAGCTCTT